TTACTAAATAACCTTCATCATATTTCCAATAAATCATTGAACTATTCAATTATCCCACTTTAATCACCAATTCCTGAAATTTTACAATTTGGTCACTAACCCGGTATTGAAGATGTTACAAATCTCCCCTCCTTTAAAGAAAATTCATCCTCGAATTTTCACTGAACAACTCAATAAGAACATATCTTCTAATGTTCTCATGCTACCTCCTTTACTTATCATATAAACAGTAACCCATAACCTCAATCCATTTATGTCTTTTCTCTCCTTCGATTCTTCATTTTCCTTCGACCTTTCTAAAATTCATATAATGTCATTCATTACAGTAACATCCAATTTCATCACTCAACATCATAAATTCATCTCTAACTGCCTTACAATAATAACCAAATTTATTTTCCATCATCATTTAACCAAAAACACGACCTTAAATATTCTTTAAATATGATTCAACATACACTTTAAAGAATCTTTTTACATCACATTGCACACTTTTCTTACTTTTATATCAAAATTATCATCTACACTTCCATATAATCTTTATCGTGTCTGATCCTTTAACTCAATTCCTTTAATTTCTTTATTTCATTCTTCCTTTATTCATTCCTTATACACAAATCATATTTTTCCTTTCATGTTCACATACTCTTGTCCTATCACCTATACTCATCTCTGTGTATCAATCTTCATTGCATCCTCATAACTTTAATAACCCCATTTACTTATACAAAACTTCATTCTTTATCATTTCTTATACTTGCGTTTTCCTTCCTTAAGGTTTTATACAAATACTTATCTCATTCTCGACATCCTAGCTATCTGATCAGAATACACAACTATATTCATATTCACATCATAATTGATTAACTCAACTTTACATTTTCTTCCAATCTTATAACCTTTACTCTGACAATTAATCAATAACATATGTTTAATATAGGGCACAAACCCTAGTCAACCAATCACATACATCTTTTCCAATCGAAATTATCTCAAAATTCGTTTACTTAACTTGTCAATTTCACCTCCATTCTCATACATCCTGAAATTTATGTTATTCAAACTCAACATCATAACTTCCTTTGTCTTATAAACTGATCATTGATATATACCTTCTCAAACTCTTCTTATCAATCCTCAATTTTACTCAAATATACAAATCCTTACTTCATTTTCCTTTACTATACCACATCACTATAATCCAAATATACAACTGTATCCAGATCCATTTTATATTTGGTTGTCTTATCCTGACAACATCTCAAAATATCAAATTCTATACCTTTTCCATCACATAATCTGGTTAGCCAACGCTAACTCTGTCCATCCAAAATGCAAACCCTTATTCTATCCACATTCTTGCTTATATACTGTACTATTTCTTTATTTCAAACTCATCAACTCTGGCTGTATATATCTTATAGGCTTTTCACTGATGCACTTATTCTCGAATTCTCCACAAATTCTAATCACATCTTTAGATCTTTTAACGTCCTTATGGTGACACTTGCTCACCATATTCTATCTTATTCACTTTATAACAAAACTTCTCCATATCACTTTTTCGATTCGAAACAGTGAAAACCTTTTTTCACTATTCAAATATGATTTCAATTTCTGAAATCAACCTTTAATCTTATAAGACACTTTCTGAGGTTTCTGCTCTTCATCCTGCCTGGCCAGGGTAAGTGAATTGCTATCACCATCAGATTTGTCAGTTATCGATTCACTTCAATAATTTTTATAATCCATTTCTACTATATTATACAAATCTTATTCTATTAGCAAGACATCATACTCCTTACACTATCAGATCAGAATTTTCACTCTGTGTTGGCATGTACATATTTTATGACACTTTGGACTTCAGTTTATGCCGAGAATCGGCTAAACCGTAGCTCTGATACCATTAAATATAACACCCCCAACCCGTACCCGACCCGAATACGAGTCTGAGGTGTCACATTGACCGTTCAAAACGTTTACTTTGACAAAATTCAATGAAATTCAGTTAGACATTTCCACTAAAACCCAAATAATTTCTATTATATAAAAACATAGGATTACAAATTGATCAGAGCGGTTCCAGTACAAATCTTTTATCTTTCATGCCAACTACATTTCATATGACAAAATACATAATTTAAACCTATATCTGATCTGAATTGTGGAAAGGAGAATATGACCTGTTTTGCTCCTCTAAACTTATCTTCTTGCTTTCCCGAACCTACGTGTGAAACACTCACATGCTAAGTCTATGACTTAGTGAGGCATTAAACAGATTAAAATAATTCTAACTACTTGATCATGCATGAACATATCATATCATGTCATGCTATCACACAAAATAATATATCATTTCATTTAATCAAATGTACACATCATTCATCATATCAATCATATGATACAATTCATATCACAAAAGCATATACTTTACATGTAATATATTTTTACTGTTGTCTCTTTGTTAGCCCATGCACTTCTGTGAGAACTGTAGATATGTGAGTCTATTGAGGTTGTGCACTATGCTGTCACCACAGCTCGTATGGGGTCCTACTAGGGGCTATGAATTTTGTCTCGAAAGACCTATGTACTGTATTTTTCCTGAATGACCACTCCTTAAGAACCATATGCATATTTCAATGGATCACATATGTGTCTCATAAGACCCTGTAAATGTTCCATAGAATACATATATGTCCCGAATGACCACGTAGAACCCTCGACTCTTGGCATGCCAACTATACCTCTAGCTCTCTTTACACATACATGGGCATTTTCACTTATATCATTTCACATATACATTTTCATATCACATATTCATATAAGCTCATAGCTTCTTTCACATATACATGTATACATATAGCTTCTTTTCATGTAATTCATATCACTTTTCATATAATTCACATGTTCACATATAACACCTATGACTATATTCATGCATAAATAATAATCATATCACCCATATTAATATTCATAAAATCATGTAATCGAATGTTGGAAGTAGACTCATTGCGAGTCTTTTCCACACACGTCATATACTAATGCATATGCACTCACCTTGGCCTCACTAAGTTTCAATCCACTTTTATGCTTTCATCTCTTTCGATTGAATCTTAACTTGATAATCATTCTGGAACTTGTTCGTGCTCGATATCTATATAATCATACATTGATACATATCAATATTTAATTGATATACTCTAATCTTTTAGACCAAAAGAAATGTCTATTTCAATTTCCCCTTGAAGTACATCGATGCATTCTACAGTGCATCGATGCATCCCTTAACATGTGCATCGATGCACTCCTTATGCATCGATGGATTAATTGCATTCGATGTTTCCATTTTTAATGGGTGCATCGATGCACTTCATGTGCATCGATACACTCTGAACAATTTCTGGAAATTTACCCTTGATGCATCGGTGCACATTGAATGTGCAACGATGCACATAGCCCAGAATTCATTTTTAAGCTCGAAAATCTACTCAAATCAACTCAAATGTTTCATCTTTCATCCCCTTTCATGTTCTCAACTCATATACACATGCTTAAACCAATTTATATCCATATAAATCATCTTTAACTTCAAAATTCTATTCCTCATATGTAACTCAAGAATTAAACCAACTTTGCAATATGTTTTAATTCCAATTCTATGGCTTCTAACTTCTTAATTAGACTCTTGACAAGTCAAATTTAACTTCCAACTCTAGTTATGAACTCTATTTCAATATTTCACCTAAGAACCTCAAATCTTTAATCCCTCCTAACTCCATCATACTTTAATTTTAAGATAACTTAAGCTTAGTTATCATCTAAAATTCATAAACCAACTTTTATTTCAACTAATAATCAACTAACCACAAAACTCACATTTGTCATGGTGACTCACGGCTGAAGAAGAAGAAGAGAACTCTGGAAGTTTATTTTGCCTTCTTTTCTCTTCCACGTGGGCTTCCTTATCTAATAAAGGAAAATAAAAATCTTCCATGTCAAATGACTATTTTACGCTTTACTTCATTCACTAATTACTAAATAACCTTCATCATATTTCCAATAAATCATTTAACTATTCAATTATCCCACTTTAATCACCAATTCCTAAAATTTTACAATTTGGTCACTAACCCGGTATTGAGGATGTTACATCACGATTCTCAAAATCCTGCGCCGCTAGGCGCTTGGTTAATTATGCGACTTGCCTCTACAAATCCTCAATCATCGCATCTTGCACGCCGCGATCACAACGTTGGGCTTCCTCATTCGGAACCTGCTCACGAAGACCACGACCACGACCTCCAGCCATTGAAACCGGTGAAATTTCCTAGGAAGATATTGAAACTCTGATGCCAACTGATGCCGAAACAGGATAGCGATTATCCTACAGGCTAGTTTCAACAGATGATTCACAGGAGAAAATTCACCCAAAACCAGAGAAAAGAGTCTCTAGGGTTTAACAAAATATTATAAAATCAAATAATACGAAAATCAGTCCACAAGCCGGATTGTTATAGCCAAAAATCGTGTTTATCCGAATTTTGCCAAAAATAGCAAAATCTCAAAAATTACTCTAAATTAAAATTCAAAATAAAATATGCAATCTCCAAAAAATTCAGCCCAAATCGGATTTAAAATGACTTCCTAATTGACAAGCAAAATATTACCATAAATAGTAAAAAAATAAATAAAATTACTGATTCGGAGGGGAAAACAACAAAATTTGATGTCGAAAAAAAGGTCACATGGAGCCATGCTCAATGTGGACAGCGTGCGCGTCGAAAGGGGCTTTTCGTATTGGGGTCTTATGCGCGATTCCAACACCCGTAGCTAAAGTTATGGCCAAAAGACTGAAACGCACTCAAAACGGCCCCAATGAGGAACAAATCACAATCAACTCCCGCCTTTGCGCTGATCTGCCAACTCATGGTATCTCAGCGCCATCAAGGTACAATCTGACAGCTCAGCATCATCTGTCTCGGATTCCCCTGCATCATATGGCCTACCTCAATATCTACAAATTGGTCAAAGTTGAGAACAATGCTGACCTGCAAAGGTACTCCTCAACTTCGGCTTTGGAACCACTGAGGACCGGAGTGGCATCGAGAGGATTGAATTCTTTCCGTCCAGCACCCGCACTGGACTCAACTACTACACCTTGCTCAATTGGGTTCTACATGCAAGACTATAATCCAACCCTTGGTTTTTCGATTAATAGACTTGAAAATCAAGCTGCATGCACCCATGGTATTCAAGAGAATGGAGGAAAGGTTTTATTCCCTTTTGGTGAAATGGAATCGAGTTCATCAAGCACTGATGGAGTTGATGATCAAAATAAGGAGCAAGGCAATTCAGCTGGATATTGGACCGACTGAGTGCAAGGAAGAGGATCATGGTAATAGAAAAACAAAAGGAGATCATCATCCATTCAACTGCAATTACTTGTTTATAGTTGTTTACAATAAGAGATGATATATATACATATAATACCTAATTTTCCTTTTTGACATTTCTATATACATTATCAATAAATATCAAAATATGTCCCATTATTACTTTTTTTTAAAGCAACAAACTTGCATATATATATATATATGTGTGTGCAATTCTTTCTCATGGTACCAACAAGATTATGTTTCTGGGAAAACTTGGCATTTTCAATCCAATAAACATAACAATATCACCCAATTTCACATTAATGCTTAAAACGAATTGGGGTCATCTAGACATGGGCCTCCTGTTAGTTTTGTAGTTGTAGAGATGGCATAAGAGATTCAAATATATAAATTACAACATAATACCAGTATGAAGATACGTGAAGCGGAGATGAGTGCATAATGATATATTCAACATACATTGGATTTCTCCACTGTACAAAAGTTAAACTTGATACACTTATTATTCCATAATGTAAGAGAACTCGTAAATGCAGTCCGCAGACTCGTCATAGAAAACAAAAACAGAAGACACCTTCAACATGTCCTCCTATACAAAACATACCCATTTTAACAGAGGGGAAGGAGCAGTGGCTTTTCTAGCAGGAAAAACCAAGTATTCTCAACACCATATTCACTCACTTGTCTGCATTGATTCCAAAGATCCGAACCTTGTGCATGTTGGGGAACTTGGCAATGACAAGCACAAGGACTGCAAGTGTGTTCAAAAAGAGCATAGGATGTTGGTAGTCGGTTGTATGAGAGACTATCAAGTACCTGTCAGGAAACAGAAAAAAAAAAAAAGCATGGTCAATATAAGTCGCAAGTCCCAGTATCATACTCCAGCAAATGAAATTCCGAGACTAAAAACAGCAAACTCTCTCTGGAAAAACAAAGACCATGAATTATATGTTAAGTCATGCCAAAGAGCTTCATGAAAGAAGCGAGAGAATCAAGGATGAAATGCTGTTTGCTATCATCTATCAAAATATTGTCAATGTCTAGTTTGTAAGGCAATCAATCAGACTTCTCTGAGGAAACAAGACTCTGCAAGTCTACACCAAGTTGAAGATAAACTGCAATCCTTCGGAGAGGAGTCTCTCAAATCCCATAGCAAAACTAAAATCTAATCATATAGTAGTTCTTTTCCTTTTGTCTTTTCAATACTTAATGATATATTCACAGACAAAGGGTGATACATTTAAACATATTGGCCCCTCAGGCCTGAGCCATTCCTAATGAACCAAGTTTCCAGTTTATCTTGAGTTTCAAATAACTTCTAACAAAAAGTTCGGATAAATCATTTAAATAAGGCAGGACTCCTTGATGAATGTCTTATACAAAAATAAAGAATCAGAATTCACAAATAGCCCTGCTCTAAATGAACATGCAGAGCTTAGCACTGACTAAGTCTCAAGAGCTAATTTACTGAAAGCGATCAATTGACATAAACGTGTTGGTGATGAGTCAAAGAATGTAAAAGAGACTATCATTTTTTATAAATATAATTGAATAACACCAGTTCACTAATGAGAACATAGAAATCTGTGCACAAGTAGTCACACTCGATAGATGTTAAAAGAAAAGCAACAGAATAACTATTTGACGAATGAAAGGAGACTTTATGCAAATATCATAATATAAAAGTCATGTTACAGAAATCCAATTGCACTACTAAGGCAAAAACAATGTTATCTATGATTGGGGAACAAAAGAAAAGGCTGAATATCAACATTCAATATCTGAAATAAAAAACATGAGTACACACAAATGACAGAGATGCGACACAGAATAATAGGACAAAATCATAAGCAAGTTCCAAAATTTTGTAAAACATCATATAAGGATACTTACAACACAACAGGTACAACAGTTAGAAACTTCCTATTGCGTGTGAGCTGCTTTCCATTGTCAATCTGCTCCCACCAAGTCAAGCCATTATAAATCCCTTGATCATCAGCAAATGGCGTTCCTTTCTTCCAGTGAAAAAAGTGGTATGTGACCTGAAAACAGACCAATTCAATGTTGGTTCAGATAACTGTCATGCAGATGGGCCATGTTCTGAAACTAAATAGAAAAAACTTAAGGCTTTTGTATTCTATGAAATACAACAGAAAATCAAAATCATTACAAGAGAAAGAAGCACAAGATCAGCTACGTTGAAATTTCATGAAGAAATGAACATTTTAGAGGCGGCAATGAACTAGTCAAAAGGCCTCGTACAGATATAATCAGATGAATAAGTGGGTGCCAAAATACCAGTATAGGTAAAAATATACAACCAAGTAGGCTTGTAAACGAAACAACGAACACGAACGGGGTATGTTCTTGTTCGTTCATTTAACTTTAACCGAACAAATGAACGAACACAAACATAAACGGACAAAAAATTTATTGTTCATGTTCGTTAGTTAAGGAATGTAGATGAACGAACATAAACGAACGGATGTAAACGAACATAAACAAACGTAAACGAACATAAATGAAAAAATATTTTTTTTTTTTTCTTTCCTAACAATTTTAGGATTATATTTTATTTAATTGTTTTGAGCTTTTTTTATTTGAATTTAAAATTAATTGAATTTTAAAATATTTATGGGTATCAAATTAAAATTTATTGGACTTTAATATTTTAAATGGGTATAGAGAGATTGGGCTAAACATAAATGAATGCACATAAACGAACAAACATAAATGAACATAAATGAACGAACATAAACAAACATATAACCGAACGTTCACGAACATAAATGAACGAAAGAGCCCTTTGTTCATGTTCGTTCATTTAATTAAACGAACACAAAATCTTATTCATGTTCGTTCGTTTAATAAATAAACGAACATAAACGAACTTCCCGCCGAACGGTTAACAAACGGTTCGCTCAACATTCGGTTTGTTTACAGGCCTACAACCAAGCTGCCAAACATCTTAACAAGAGCTAGGTTTGCATTTGCAAAATCTTAATTTTGCAGAAGAGACGTGTCAAAATGATTACGTAAGAAAACTTTGAATACATGCCACACTATATCTCATACTCAAAACTTAGTGATATTGTTCAGTAGCCAAAACACCCCTTGATTTCCCCGTTTCACGTCTATAAGTCAGAGGCTACAACAATTAACTTCAAGATGTAACAATGCAAAACAATGGCAAGATCCATTGGTCCATCTGACGCTCATCAAATATCCCAGTAGAGTGCAGGTCAGAGACACAAGGCGAAATTCAAACCTTAAACAATATATCTATGACAATAACGATGCATCAATATCGAAAACACCCATCACAACACTGAAAATCAAGCCATCCAAAGCCAATTTCAACAAAAAGGGTAAATTCACATGCAAAAAAGAATCCAAATTGAACATTCAGTACGATAAGACAATTAAAATTGCAAAAAAAAGGAAAAGGAAACGCACAAGGAAGTGAGCGATATTGACAACGGTCCAAGCCATGCCAGCAGAGCAACCGAAGACGGAGAGAACAACGAGCCAGGAGAAGAAGAGGATTAGAATATAAGTAGTCCATACCCCTGGGTACATGAACCACTCGGTGTTCCGGTTAAGATCCGTCGTTGGCACCGTTTTCACATACAGATTTGCCATATGTTTTTCCGATAACCACCAACTCCAAGAGCCACCCTGATTTCCGATGGATCTATATGAATATTTCAAAGACTTGGCTTTTTTGGGTACTTGTTGGATTTAGGAATCTATAAATCAAAATCTCGAACCCTGCCCCTTCAAAGAGGTGCCTTTATCTGTAAAAAAAAAGGATGGGTCTTTATTTGCTCGTTTGAATGGAAAACTGGAAAGCTCTGTCAAAAAAGCGTTTAGATTAGTTATCTAAACCGACCATAATTACAACAACCAACCATGTAATCCAAACCAACACGACACCGTCTAAGTTCCGCCTAGAACCAAGAGTATACAAAGACTAGAAACTTGTCGTGTTCTCTATTTTGTTGTTTTCTTTGGAAAGGGCAAAGCTGCATTAGATGTCCACTGGAATGTAATCTGCCTTATCCCCTGTTTTATTATAGATTTTTAATTATCATATTTAGTGCTACTTGTCATTAAGATTTGCCTTTTAACCATAGGGATTCTTTTAAGTAATGTCACTGTAATTACATTTACTAATTATTACAACTAAAATTACACTCATTCATAATTCTCTTACTTTTCAGTTTGGAGGATATAATTAGGATGATTTGTACTGATATTTACTCATCTAAATGTATAATTATTTACAATTACACTTGACTATGATTTTTTTTCAAACATGTACCGATATTTATTCATCACTATAAGCATTTTAAAATAGATATTCAAACTTATGTGTTCAAATAATATCAGTAAAAATGTCAGGATAATACAGAATGTTAAAATTTTTCCCCACAATAAAGTAATTCCAACATTATTTCCTTATCTAGGCCAATTTCTACAGTACACACCTAAAGACCTCGGGATATGTCGGCGTCTTCAGATTAAAATTTTGCATGTATAATCTTTAGGGATTACTCGCGTCTTTAGTTAAAGTAGGGTTGATTTTGAGGTTAAGATATTGAGTGCAGGTAGCTAGCATTAGCAATGGGAAGGCACTGGTACATTTTAAAGCACTAACAATATCTTTAATGTTTAAATCCATCATAAATGAACAATATGCCCTGCCAATCAACAGTGAACAGAATAAAAGTTTTCTCTTTGATGCCAGAGGAAGAAGATGACGTCGAGAATTCCCGGCCACCTCCACATGCAGCAACAACCTTATTTAACTAAAGACTTCGAGTAATCCCTAAAGTAAAACATAAATGAACAATATGCCCTGCCAATCAACAGTGAACAGAATAAAAGTTTTCTCTTTGATGCCAGAGGAAGAAGATGACGTCGAGAATTCCCGGCCACCTCCACATGCAGCAACAACCTTATTTTAACTAAAGACT